CTGGCCTAACAATTTGGAACACCCTTCCTGTCGCTTTCAGAAACAGCAAGACACTGGATTCTTTAAAACCAATTTAAAAACACATCTATTTCGCAACACCTTCTGTGGTTATGTTGTTTACGATCTTTTTCCAGTTAATGTATATTGGCTTGTGTTGCTTATGGTTGAAATGGGATGAAAGACTTTGAGTTGGTATGTTCGTATGTAGTTTTCATATTGTTCACTTTAATTTTTAAATGTTGTAAATTAAAGATTGGTTTTATTACTCTAATTAATATGGTTTACTTTGTACCACGCTTCGAGCTGTTGGTGATGAAGCGTGTATTTCCAAAAAAAACTTTATAATTATAATGCAACCATGATATTTTTGGCTTCTTATTTGCTCATCTTTTTTTTCCCCAACAAACTTGTTGGATCTCCTTGCAATCAGAATAAATAAACGATCAATAACAGAATGTCTCACTGTCACATTTATCCACCCAAGCACACACATACGTGTGGATGCACAGATGGTCTCACTGACATTCTTTTTAACTAATTACTATGCCATGACCTGAAAAAACACTTCTATATGAAAACACCATGCGGTGTAAGTTGCTGTGTTGTTTTATTCATCATAGCTTAAATTACGTGCTTTAACCTCACACAGTAAACAAACACGGACACACTTTGATGGCCACAAATTTTAATTAAACATATGATTCGTTCAAAACATTTACATCACATTGGAATGTTACACAAGACTATAATATGTGGATTAAATAATTTGAATAAAGAGTCTCTTTTTTCACAAGAAGTGGCCGTCGAAAATTTGTCTACCATTATAAGAAGTCTGGAAATAAATAAGTGGTTATGTCATTGTTATTACCAATAGATAGTTTGCTTTAACACGGAGCTTTATTAAATTATAAAGTCTTACAACACACAAACATTAGACATTGGTACACTATACAAATATGAGAAAGTAGTACAACACACAAAAATGAGAAAATATTAAAGCATGTAAATATGAGAATTTAGTATGACATATAAATATGATAAATTAATACAACAGACAAAAAAGAGAAAGTAAAACATGCATATAAATCCGATAAGTTAGCCCAACTTATGTATACGAGAAAATAGTACACCACTTGAATATTAGATGGTAGACAGTAAATTACAACATGAAATCCCAATGACGAATGCTAAAACAAATCAGTATGAGCTAGAGATTGTATGTACCTATGAATTTTTCAAAGTGCAGCAATTAAAAAAATGATAAGTTGGCTTTTAAAAGTGGAGGCAAAACGTTACTTTGAAGTTTGAACAAACACGCATTGCCCTCTGATTTGAATGTAAATAAGGAGCATCAACTTTTTCTGGAACAAAACCAAACTGCTGTTGAAGATGGCGATTACTCTAAATCAGACACTTCATCATGTTCTATTTGTTTGTTGTTCTAAATTCAAATTAAATGATTTGTGAATTGAACATTATCTTGTTTGCTTTTGTTTAGAATTCAGATTTATAAACACAAATCATGCAGACTTATAGCACTCTAAACTTTACCCTATTACAGGGGACTATCCAGCATTTATAATACTGTTCTGTTAAGATCTATCAATAAAAACAATTATATAATGTATATGATACAATTTTTTTTTTTAGCTTGTTATATAAATGGTTTGTAAGCTGTAACACATGCTCTGACACCATTGTAACTCATGGTGTGACATCTTATTTCTTAGGGCGTTATGTCAGTAGCATGGTCACTTATTTTTATATTAATGCTTCAGGATGCCGGCTGAGATTTCTTCTATTCTTCCACTTACATATCCAGTCACATATCCAGGCACGCAAAGAAGAATACTGAATCCTGATTAAACTTACAGTACTTTATTATATCACACTTTACACTGATAATATTAATAATAATCCTTGTATGAATGTAATCATTTCACATATATATATAATATTCCACCTTTCAGAAAGACACGTCCTCACTCAGCTACAACTCCTTAATCAACTCAACTGCTCTCAGCTCAACTATTCAATCAACTTCCCATTTTATTACACAGCAAAGCGTGGAAACGACCGCTTTACCAAAACAACATAATTTACTCTCCAAAAACGTCGAGCTCACATTTTCTTCTCAAAAATACAATTCACTCTCTCTCCTCGTGGAAAATATGGTCAACACAGTTCACTGTTCACTCATGCTACCTCTCTGGTTTCTTGTGAAAACTTAGTCTGTTACATAATCTATAAACAAACTAATTCATTTGCTACTGGGAATAATGTTAAGCTATCAAAATGGATATACAGCACTTTGTCGCTAATTTATAGGTGGATACACAGCATTTTGAAACGAAATAAGAAATTTATAATGGTAAATAAATACATTGTAATTAACCTACATTTCAATGTTCATCAGAATCCAATTTATATTTTATATATATACCTAATTAACATTTAATTTTCCGAAAATTTGAGTAATGATTGTGTAGCAGAAAAAGTAGATTATCTCAAAACGCCAAAAATGGAGATACAGCATTTTGAAAATCGACTCTTCATGCATTGATACTCTTAAAAAAGACTGTATTGATGATCTGAGAAATGACTGTCATAAGATATTTCTCAAAGAAAGCGTTTGATACACGTTGTAACAAGAGCATTGACAAGTTGGAGGCGGCCCAGCGACTAGCAGCACGCTTTGTACTAAACCACTACTGGAATACCTCTAGTGTTGGCAGCATGCTGGAAACACTAGGCTGGTCACCATTGGAGGAACGACGACAATCCAGGCTCTCCATGATGTACAAGATAAATAATGGGCTGGTCCACTGTTCCAGTATTAAATAGAAACTCTTCCTTCTCCCCCATAGACAGCGACGAGGCCATGACAGGCAATTCAGGCTCATATCAGCATGAAGCCATTAATAGGAGCTGCTCATTCTTGCCAAAGACAATCAGGAACTGGAACAAGCTTTCAAAAGGAACAGTTTAGGCGACTACACTAGACACATTTGTGTCTATTGCCTCAAGCCTTCAAATCCCAAGTGCATGATTCCCTCACAAAATCAATGAAATTTCCTCATCAACACCAGGCACAGAAACATTTCAAATCCCATCTACATGAATAGGAGCCAAAAAAATCAATAAATTGATCTCGGGGCCTTAAGTTATAGATGAAGAAAAAATAATAATTCCTTCAAAGTTAAGAGACTAACATCGAAGAAGAAACAAGACTTACAACGGACATTACAACACACATCAATGCATCCACAGAATACGTCATAAAGTAAGATTTTTAAGAACCCAAACTAACTGCATAGAAGAGTAGGAAAAAATCAAATTAACTACTAAAGAACTAGAACAAGAAATTAGAATGGTCATTTTAAAAATTAAAAAATAGACTTTTTTTTTTACACTTGAAATGATATTACCATGTGGTAAGTCAATTAGTCTCACCAATTTAAATTCTAGTAAACATAATGTAAGCGTTTAGTGTCACAAATTTAGAATGCAGCCCATTTAAAAAAACAAAAACAATAATTGTTCTCTTCGAAATAGAATAAATTCAAGATACAGTGAAAATTTTCTTTAAACCAATTCTAAATCTTTAAAATTAAAAACAGATTTCTAACAAGCAATAAAACAATGAAACAGTATTTAAATAAGCATGATCTGTGAATTTTGGCATAAAAGCTTGCACCTTTAAACGTATACAAGATTACTTTTTTTTTCCAAAGGTAAGAATCCAGATGTGTAGGCAATTTACGAAAATGACACCAAACACCAACATACTCATTTATTTATTACAAGACATAAATATTTAAAACATTTCCAATTTACTGCTGGACCCTGGAGATCATGTTTTCACTTAAAAATTGTGCTGTCCCTTGAGATGGTGCTGTCTCTTGAGATGGTGTTTCCCTAACAGATGCTGTTGTCCCTTGAAGATGGTGTTGTCCCTTGGTGATGGTCTTATCCCTAAGAGATTGTGTTGTCCCTTGCAGATGGTCTTATCCCTAAGAGATGGTTCTGTCCCTTGCAGATGGTGTTGTCCCTTGGAGATGGTTTTTTACTTTGATATCTTGTTCTCCGGATTTATGTTGACTTCAAAGATGATGTTGACCCTTGGAGACAGCATTTAGAACGGTAACAAGTTTCAATGAAAAACATAATGAAAAATACCATTTGTTCAAATGAATCTTCCGAAATTGGTTCAATTGAAGTTACTATTTTAAACGGAACATTTAAGGGAGGTGATGTACTGTTGTCACGCATCCCTATGATGCCATTTGTGTTCAAAAGTCTGCATTTTACGGTGCGACACGCGTATGCAATGACTATCTACAAAGAACAGGGACAATCGCTACAAGTTTGCACACTAACTTTGGTAAACCCATTCTTCTCCAATGGATAGATGTTTAGACTGCACTTGCTTCGGAAAACCTTATGATTTATTCGTGTATGTACCATACGGAAAACAAGAAAATCTTTGCGCATTTAAAAGCTCTTGAAGAAACCTAATTTAAAAAAAAAAACACTTTCTTTCTTTGAGTGGCATTGCAACGCATGCCGGGTACTCGCTAGTTTATAAATAAATATAATGAATGCAAATGAAATTTTGTTCATTGTATAATCAATTAATTAAAAGGTTGTTACTACAAAAAATTAATAAATAATTTTATTTTATGTACAATTTTAAAAGTAGGTTAATTGTAAAATGTTTTAATAAATTGGTTGACTGCACAATCATGTAATTAATAAATGGATGCACACATTTTGTTGTTGTTAATGTTTACTGTACAATCATTAAAGAAAAAGGTTAATTACGTTTTCCAAACTCTGCTTACAGCAAATGTAATTGTCTAATCATACGAGTGTTGGACTGAGACGAAGCTTTAATCTAGATTAGACACGAACAACTTCCGTTAAGCTTGACGATACTGTGCAATGATCAATTATTATAGAAGCAAAACCTATTTTGCGATACTGACGCAACGTTAACGCGACAATTAGTTAATCTATTTTTTCTAATTAATTAATCTATGATTAATCTTTATTGCAGTCCAAAACTTTTTTAAACTTTAAACATACTTTCTACCGGGACGTTATCGAATAATTGTCACTGTGATTAATGAATGACGAGTGGGTGGTCAATACAACAGCTGGGAGAAACTGAGATGGATGTACTGACGAGGTAAGAAGTACGTGGATAATTTACTTCATAAGCAGCCGAACACCAGTTGGAGGTGTAGACGCTGACATCGGTTCATCCCCGTCGTAGTGGTCATTAAGCTACTGTAAGGGCAAGGGTGAGTACACATCAAGATTTGTTTCGTTCCTGTACTTTTATCTGTAAGTTTATAATAAGTTATTTTTTTAACGTTATCATTTGTTAACACTTTATCCTTTGTGATTAAATGTAATGTCAAAAATCAACATCCTTGATGTCTATAAGTTGCAGCTTTTGGCACGGAATAATAAAAAGTGTGCAAACACAACGCATATTTTTCATTATTATTGTGTGTTCGGGAATAACACAGAGACACCTAAAATCCGTTGTCTCAAATTTTAGACTTGTCATAAACCCTTACAACCCTCTTTTACATTGTGAATTGTGTTTCCCTGCGGTAGTGCGTACGGTCGTCTCAAAACAATTTCATACGAAATGCCACATTAGGAAAAGTCGTAAGCGTGCCGTCGAGCTAATTCTCTTTAAGCCCTCCCCAAAGCCGGTCAGTCCGACACTGTGTTCGCACACATTTCACACGATCGACTTTCTCGGGAGTGAGGGTGGTAAAATTTACCTCCTAATATCTTCCCCCTTCCAACACACAACGTTTTGCAAAGTAGCTGGGGCGAAACGGTTGCTTTGGAGCAGCTTCTCAGGGCTGCACAGTAAGAATTATCGGCAAGAGGTTACCCCTAACTGTTTCATAGGACAGGCTTATCTGTATATGGACTGTTTGCTTTAAGAATCAATTCGACATTACTTAACATGTAATTGATGGAATGTTGTCCTCGGTCCAAAATATATCTAAAATTATTTAAAAGTGCTTATTCCAAACTACGTTTTGGCTCGTTAATGAAAAGACACTACACACATTGTCTTTAGCTTTGAATAAAATAAATACTCTTCAGAATGTATCTGTTGTTATTGAACAATGCTACTTAAGTAAATAACTGCAGCGAATCCGAAATTCCCCTTCTTTTAAATGTAATAAGTATTCCAAGCTGAAGATTATTTAACTTGAAAAACTGATTATTTATCGGTTTCTGGCATCATTTAGTCAGAAGGGGATACACTAAAATAGTGGATTTAAAGAGATCGGAAGATTATTGAAGTTTGATAACAAATACTTTGAGGTTATCAAATGTTTTCTATCAGGTAATGGAAATGAAATTGATGTTTAGAATTGCTGTCTTGATCGTCTGCTGCATGAATATTGGCCTGGGACACTCGGGAATCCCTTGTTGGGTCTGTCGGATAAATAATCAGGTGTGTATACATTTATCGGTCATGTCAATGGTGATGTAAGTAGTATATGATCTGTCACGTCAATTGTTATGTGAGTAGTATATGCTCTGTCATGTCAATGGTGATGTAAGTAGTATATGATCTGTCACGTCAATTGTTATGTGAGTAGTATATGCTCTGTCATGTCAATGGTGATGTAAGTAGTATATGATCTGTGATATTTATGTTATGAAAGTAAAATATGATATATTGTGTCCATGGCCATGTAAGTAGAATATAATCTATCATGTCCATTGTGATGTTAATAGTATATGATCTGTCATGTCAATGGTGATACAAGTAGTATATGATCTGTCATTTCAATCGTTATTTAAGTAGGATCTGATCTGTCATGTCAATGTTGATGTAAGTAGTGTATGATCTATTGTGCCCATGGTCATGTAAGTAGTGTATGATCGATCATATCACTGATGATATAATTGGTATGTGATCTGTCAGGTCACTGGTGATATAAGTAATATATGATATGTTATGTCCTTGGTCAAGTAAGTGATATATAATCTTTCAAGTCACTGGTGATATAAGTGGTATATGATACGTCATGTCAGTGGTTATATCACTAGAATATGATCTTTCATGTCAATGGTGGTGTAAGAAGCATATGAAATGTCATGACCGATGTGCTCTAAGTAGCATGTTCTCTGTTATGTCCATGGTGATGTATGTAGTATAAGATTTATGTCGATGGTGATGTATGTAGTATAAGATTTGTGTTGATGGTGATGTATGTAGTATAAGATTTATGTCCATGGTGATGTATGTAGTATAAGATTTATGTCGATGGTGATGTATGAGGTATAAGATTTATGCCCATGGTTATGTATGTAGTATAACATGTATGTCCATGGTGATGTATGTAGTATAACATTTATTTCCATAGTGATGTATGTAGTATAACATTTATGTCCATGGTGATGTATGTAGTATAACATTTATGCCCATGGTGATGTATGTAGTATAACATTTATTTCCATAGTGATGTATGTAGTATAACATTTATGTCCATGGTGATGTATGTAGTATAACATTTATGTCCATGGTGATGTATGTAGTATAACATGTATGTCCATGGTGATGTATGTAGTATAACATTTATTTCCATAGTGATGTGTGTAGTATAACATTTATGTCCATGGTGATGTATGTAGTATAACATGTATGTCCATAGTGATGTATGTAGTATAACATATATGTCCATGGTGATGTATGTAGTATAACATTTATTTCCATGTTGATGCATGTAGTATAACATTCATGTCCATGGTGATGTATGTAGTATAACATGTATGTCCATGGTGATGTATGTAGTATAACATTTATTTCCATAGTGATGTATGTAGTATAACATTTATGTCCATGGTGATGTATGTAGTATAACATTTATGTCCATGGTGATGTATGTAGTATAACATTTATGTCCATGGTGATGTATGTAGTATAAGATTTATGTCCATGGTGATGTATGTAGTATAACATGTATGTCAATGGTGATGCATGTAGTATAACATTTATGTCCATGGTGATGTATGTAGTATAACATTTATGTCCATGGTGATGCATGTAGTATAACATTTATGTCCATGGTGATGTATGTAGTATAACATATATGTCCATGGTGATGTATGTAGTATAAGATTTATGTCGATGGTGATGTATGTTGTATAAGATTTATGTCGATGGAAATGTAAGCAGTTGATTCTCTGGCATGTCTGTTTTGATGTAAACAGTATATGATCTGTAATGTACGTGGTGATGAAAGCAGTATATGATATGTAGTGTACGTGGTGATGTAAGCAGTATATGATCTGTAATGTACGTGGTGATGTAAGCAGTATATGATCTGTTATGTACGTGGTGATGTAAGTAGTATATGATATGTAATGTACCTTGTCATGTAAACAGTGTATGATCTGTAATGTACGTAGTGCTGTAAGCAGTTTATGATCTGTAATGTACGAGGTGATATAAGCAGTATATGATATGTTATGTACGTGGTGATGTAAGTAGGATATAATATGTAATGTACGTGGTCATGTAAACAGTGTATGATCTGTAATGTACGTAGTGATGTAAGCAGTATATGACCTTTAATGTACGTGGTGATGTAAGCAGTATATGATCTGTAATGTACGTGGTGATGTAAGCATTATAATATGATTTGTAGTGTATGTTGCGATGTAAGCAGTATATGATCTGTAATGTACGTTCTCATGTAAGCAGTATATGATCTGTAATGTACGTGGTGATTCAATCAGTATATAATCTGTTATTTCTACGCTGATAGAATGAGTGTATATAAAAACTACTTCTAGTACATCCCACAACCCTTACCTTCCCTCGATTGACCAGACTTTAATGAGGTCAGCTCAACCTTTGGACACATGGTAGGTCGATCGCTCTCCTCTTTTTGCAATACTAGCCATCGATTTTTCTAGTTATATCCTCCCCTGCCCATCCCTGGGAAGGGCAGATACCATGCATGCCCATTGTCTGCCCATTATCTGCCCATTGTCTGCCCACGCAGGATCACGCAATTGATGAAGTATTCCACGTTGGCGCTGACTCCTTAGTCAGTGTACATTACAGACATGTCGGGTAGAGCCCCAATTGTTATAGTTTTTTTTTATATTTCATAAAGTTATTAATAAGTTGTTGTTTTTTAGTTATAAGCCATATACTTGTTAATAATTTATAGAGTCGTTTCATACACGTATATTTTATATACATTTTAACTTCCTTCTGTTTGTTGCATCTACACGTGTCACTTGACCCATCATCAGACGTTTTCTATTGGTGAGTCGGTGGGGACAGTTATTGATGGCTGTAACAATTGTTGGTGTCGCAAAACAGGTTTTGGATGTACAGAAATGGGTTGTTTAAAGCAACCCCTGGATTGTGAGATGCAGGGAATGGTTCGTAATGTAATATTTTTCCAATTAACTTCATATATATATATATAAATACATATATAATTATTAATTAACTTGAAATGTGCATCATAACTAAGTTTTAAATTTCTCATGACACTGAAAGTATATTGTATTAGCCATTAATTTAATAGTGTGATGTTAGAATATTGCCGACAAATTCCAAATAATCCACAAATTTAAACACATTTTTTTTTCAATGTGAGTAAGTAAAAATTACATTTATTTAATAAATATTCGTTAAATCAAAGCTATAATAATACTTTTTTCATAGTGAACAAATATATGTGTTGAAAATGTGAAATTTTTGTATCATATGTATCATTGAACGTACAGCACTACAAAGACAATGAAATCGTCCCATCTGACGATTGCCTGGAATGTCGTTGCAGGAATGGCAACCTGGCTTGTACCGGCTGCCTAGATTGAATTATGGCCGCTGGCTTTTTTTTTTTTTTTTTGTCAGATAAGATAAATGTAGAATCAAGTTATTGCTACTATCCTTTAGTGTATAAAATAAAGGAATGCATTCGACTAATCAAATTGAATTTTATTGTGTTAACGTAATGTATCGTGAAAAATAGTTTGTTTTATATATTTAAAATTGGTAAGTTTTAAAAAAAAACTTTCTGTCTTTTTCTTTCTTTTTTTGTGTGTCTTCCTTGTGTTAGTTGATTGACTTGACGGAATTAGTCATTCAGTCATTGTGCATTTTTTTTAAAAAACACAATTTTTTGTTTACTTTAAAAAAAATTTATTAATTAAACCAGCTCATAGGCATTGACGAATTTAGCAGCAACCAAATGCCATTTTATCAAATTAAACACGATTTTAAACGGATTCAAATGAAAAGATTTCAATGAGAAAATTAAGGATGCCCTTGGCTTGGATCTTATCCCAAATCAGATCTTAAAAAAAAAAAATATCTTCTTTGTGGTTTGTTATTGTTTGCTTCTCTGTTTGTTGGTTTATTTGTGTTTTGGTTTGTCTGTTGTTTCGATTGTTGATGGGTTTGTTTATTTGTGGGTTGGTGTGTTTAAAGGATTTGTTTGGTTATTGCTGGGTTTGTGTATGGGTTGGTTTGTATCTCTGTTTGTTTTTTATGGGTTAATGTGTTTATAGGTTGGTGTGTTAATGTGTTGGTGTGTTTCTGGGTTGGTGGGTTTATGGGTTGGTGTGTTTATGGGTTGGTTTGTTTATGGATTGGTTTGTTTATGGGTTGGTTTGTTCATGGTTTGCTGTATTTATGGGTTGGTTTGTTTATGGATTGGTTTGTTTATGGGTTGGTTTGTTCATGGTTTGCTGTATTTATGGGTTGGTTTGTTTATGGTTGGGTGTGTTTATGGGTTGGTTTTTTATGGGTTGGTTTGTTTATGTGTTGGTTTGTTCATGGTTTGGTTTGTTTATGGATGGGTGTATTTAAGGGTTGGTTTTTTATGGGTTGGTTTGTTTATGGGTTGGTTTGTTTATGGGTTTGTTTGTTTATGGGTTGGGTTGTTTATGGGTTGGTTTGTTTATGGGCTTGTTTGTTTATGGTTTGGTTTGTTTATGGGTTGGTTTGTTCATGGTTTGGTGTGTTTATGGTTTGGTTTGTTTGATGGGTTGGTTTGTTTATGGGATGGTTTGTTAATGGGTTTGTTTGTTTATGGGTTTTTTTGTTTATGGGTTGGTTTGTTTATGGGATGGTTTGTTTATGGTTTGGTTTGTGAATGGGTTGGTTTGTTTATGGGATGGTATGTTTATGGATTGGTTTATTTATGGGATAATTTGTTTATGGGTTTGTTTGTTTATGGGTTGGTTTGTTTATGGGTTGGCTTGTTAAGGGTTGATGTGTTTATGGGTTCGTTTGTTTATGGAATGGTTTGTTTATGGGTTGGTTTGTTTATGGCTTGGCTTGTTTATGGGTTGGTACATTTAAGGGTTGGTTTGTTCATGGTTTGGTGTGTTTATGGTTTGGTTTGTTGATGGGTTGGTTTGTTTATGGGATTGTTTGTTTATGGGTTGGTTTGTTTATGGTTTGGCTTGTTTATGGGTTGATTTATTTATGGAATAGTTTGTTTATGGGTTTGTTTGTTTATGGGTTGGTTTGTTTATGGGATGTTTGTTTATGGGTTGGTTTGATTATGGGTTGGCTTGTTTATGGGTTGGTGTGTTTATGGGTTGGTTTGTTTATGCAATGGTTTGTTTATGGGTTGGTTTGTTGACGGCTTGGCCTGTTTATGGGTTGGTGCTTTTATGGGTTGGTTTGTTCATGGTTTGGTGTGTTTATGGTTTAGCTTGTTTATGGGGAAGTTTGTTTATGGGATGGTTTGTTTATGGGTTGGTTTGTTTATGGTTTGGCGTAGCGAGGTCGAAGTTCCCAGTCGTAGATTTAGTGGGATGTCTAAGATGGGCATGATGACTCTCCAGCGAGAAATCTTGTTGGTGAGAGTCCCTGGATTTCAAAATCCTTCTAGTAGCTGTCAGGTAGTTTGGTGTAGGATGTAAATCAATCCCCTAGCTCCAGCTTCAAGGTAAGTCGGTCCAGTTATAGAAACCAGGCTAAAGGCGAAATAATACAAAAATGGATAAGTATCCAGGCGACTAGCCATAAGCTGATAAGTCCCGTTCCAACAGCAACGAATTCAGTTCGATGTATGGAAGGTGACATAGCTTGTACATATATACATCCAATTTTTGGATGGATTTATAAATCTAATCATTGTCAGCGTAAGCATATGTTGCCTCATGACAATGTTGGACCAAGTAAACATTTTAATTAATGCACTATGGGGCATTGAATCATTATTAATCATTAAATTTACCGGTTAAAAAGTATACATATTATCTTCTCGTTAAAAGAGACGTGGGAGATTTGGAACAACAACCTACCATTCCCATGATGGAATGGCGGCGTGTCGTAGCCCGCGGCAAAGGTAATATCATAATGTATAATATCAATAGTATAATATAGGCATTATTAGAATAAGATCAAACACGATCGAATATTTGCTTCATAGTTGTATGAACAATACAAGTGCAATACCATTATATCAAAATCATGGTTGCATACTTACTAGTACTCTAGGTAGCAGTCGCAGTTAATGATCACACTAATGAAGTCCTGAGTCTAGTTACTTCCAGCGTCCACAGTCAAGTGATCAGATCTTAAAAGACATATACTTGCTAGTATCCTAGGTTGCAGTTATATATCATGCTACTGAATTCTCTAGTGAAGTTATCTCCAGCGTTCACAGTCAAGTGATAACGCTATGAAGTCTCTAGTGTAGTTATCTCCAGCGTTCACAGTCAAGTGATAACGCTATGAAGTCTCTAGTGTAGTTATCTCCAGCGTTCACAATCAAGTGATAACGCTATGAAGTCTCTAGTGTAGTTATCTGAAGCGTTCACAATCATGTGATAACGCTATGAAGTCTCTAGTGTAGTTATCTCCAGCGTTCACAGTCAAGTGATAACGCTATGAAGTCTCTAGTGAAGTTATCTCCAGCGTTCACAGTCAAGTGATAAAGCTATGAAGTCTCTAGTGTAGTTATCTCCAGCGTTCACAGTCAAGTGATAACGCTATGAAGTCTCTAGTGTAGTTATCTTCAGCGTTCACAGTCAAGTGATAATGATCATAAAAGACATATTCTTGTTTGTTCTGGCTATGTATTCGAATTGGGTGATGATTCAGTTGGTGGTTTCAATGTTGTTGTTTTTTTCCCATCTAATGATAATCCCTTTCTGTGTTGCGGGTTTGACCTTCTACCCTCCAAGTTTATCGAGGTGAGGTGGAAAATCCAAATTCAAGCTTCGGAGTGAGTTTTCTGGTGTAGAAATGCAACAACAAGGGACGTTACTCCGCTTTACTGCCTCCAAGGTGGGGGGGGGGGGTTATTATTTTCTCAAGTTTCATCGGTGAGAGGCGTTGAACACAAAATCCAAGCTTTGGAGGTAAGCGGACTGGGTTAGGAATTCGATAACACCAAGGGAAGTCATTCAGGCTATGCTACTGCGAGGTGACACAGAGGGAGGGATTGGCATTATTTTACAAGGGTTTCCAAGGGTGGATTTACGATGGAAGAAATTTGCAAGGACGTCACCAACATATAAACAATTAACATTTGGTACATTTTTTATTGCTTGATAAACTAGTGTTAAAATATTTCTACGATTTGAGTTAACATAAATGATAATATGGAAGTGATACGTAATATTCATTAAAGGTACTAGAATAGTATCTAAAATTGTAATTACGAAAAAGCTGGCAATGCCATAGAAATGATTATATTAAATTAAAAAAAAAATCAACTTACAGAAAGTTGAGACATTCAAATACCGTATATTACCATGGAGACTAATAGAAATCTGTGTTAAAAGGCTTTTTTAAGTTAGCATTCGCATCATACACATACGCAACTGTCAGCAATATTTATTTCAAAGATTACACCGTATCGATATTAATATGTTGGTATCGATATTGTCATGGTCGTATCAATATTAGCATGGTCGTTTTGAAAATGACATTGTCGTATCGATATCCGCATGTTCGTTTCGATGCTAGCTCGGTCATATCTATATTATCATTATTGTATCGATATTAGCAAGGTCGTATCGATATTATCACTGTCGTATCGATATTATGATGGACATATCGATTATAATCTGGTCGTATCCATAATTAGCTTGGTGGTATCGATATTAGCTTGGTTGTATCAATATTGGAATGGTCGTATCAATATTACCATTTTCACGTTAAATGTACTAATATTAAAGGAAATTTACATTTGAATTTTAACGTAATTTTTTTCTTTCTTCCCCACCCCCCCCCCCAATTTAATCGTTATTAAAGATATTGAACAAGATGAACAGATTTAAATTCTACATTATATGCAGGGACCGTTTCATGCGCGGCAATATATCCTAGACAGACGCCAGTAATAATAAGCTCAATTAAAAAAAAATAATAACTGGATACATGGCACTACGCCAAGGGCGTAGACGCATGCGTCAATGAACTCAAGAACCTTGAGCTGATGTAGGAGTTCAAGAATTTTGTTTGTTGTGTACGTACGGTCACGTAGTGCAGATCATGGAGAAAATGATGTGCATACGGCAGCAGTGTTGGCTAAAGACTTTACATCTTGCATCAAGATTCCAAGAGCCAGTTTGACATACACAAAAAAGAGACGCACAATGGAGCAACATTACCAACTTATGGCACATCTCAACAGAGATAACATAATTCTGGCACAAAAGAATCACGTTTTAAGAGCCAGTGTGACATGGCACAAGACACGCATGATAGAGCAACATCACAAACTTATAGCACTCCTCCAGGAAGAGTACACAAGTCTGACACAAATGAATCAAGTCCAAGAGACATTTGTGCCTATTGCAGAGAGGAACATCACAAACTTATAGCACACCTCCAGGAAGAGCAAACAAGTCTGGCACAAATGAATCAAGTCCAAGAGACATTTGTGCCTATTGCAGAGAGGAACATCACAAACTTATAGCACACCTCC